AGGGGGCGGGGGGGCAGGAGCAGTGGAATAGGGGAAGGGAGGGGCAGCCCTGCTCCAGATGACCTACATGGCTCAGCTCCTCCTCCAACAGCCCCCTGCAGCTGGGGTCCCTCCCCCCCTCTCCAGACACAGCTGCTCGCCTGCCTGCCCCCTACCTCAGCAGGACAGGTGGGACCGTGGGAATCAGGCAAACCCAGTGCAGGATGTCCCCTTTGGTGGGCCGCCTGCCCATAGCGTCCACCCCAAGGGCAGCCCTGAACCCGGCCCCTGATCCTACCCCTTGCAGCTCTGCCTCCTGCGGGTTTGGGGGGTGTGATGCTCTGAATAAAATATCACCATATAGATCACTGTTGCGACCACTGTTATATATTTGCCACAAATCTTGTAGAACGTGTGGCATGTGAGACGTCTACGGAAAGGTTACCATTTGCTGAATACGATGATGCTATTTGTTCGCATGTATCATTTCTCTATCTGAAGATATAAATATTAGCCACACACCTGTATTTCAAATGTTGGCCAATGTGGTTCAAACCTCTGGACGATGCACTTATACTAAGGGGAGCGTTCTAACTGGGGAACGGAGGACCTTCCAAAGATTTGGAAGCAACCAGAGACTTGTCTTAAGCAGGGCTGGCTCCAGGCACCAGCCGACCAAGCATGTGCTTGGGGCGGCACCTTGTAAGGGGCGGCCAATCTTGGGGTGGCGGGGGGCGCTCGGTTTTTTGTTTGTTATTTTGTTTTGGTTCGGTTGGGCCGCGCTGGGGGGGGTTGTCTTTGTTTCGGCCGCGAGGCGCGGGGCAGTTAGGCAGTGCGGTGCTCGGCGGCGGCGTGGTGCTGGGGGGGGGGGGTGTTACTGCGGCGCGGTGTTCTTTTTTTATGCTTGGGGTGGCAAAAAAGTTAGAGCCGGCCCTGGTCTTAAGCCAGTGGTTTATTCCATCACTGCTACAAACCTGAACCAAGAACTTTGCAATTATTGTCTGTATTTGATTCCTTTAACCAATTTTAATTCTCACCCTCTTTCTTTCTTTCTTTCTTTCCAGGGCCGTCCCTAGGGGGATATGGGGCTTGGGACAACCCTCCGCGCCTCTCCATCCCAGGCCCTGCCTCTACTCTGCCTCTTCCCACCCTTGCTCCGCTCCCTCCCACCCCTTCTCCCAGACCTTCTTCCCTGATCGATGTGGTTGGGAGCCGGGTGTGTGTGTGTGTGCGGGGGAACGGGCTGGGACCGGTTTCTTCCATTTCCCACCACTGCCAGCGTTACCTCACAGGGGAACCAAGGTAACTCTATACATATATTGGTATCAGTATCAAGAGATAAGACAAGCCCCTTTTACTCAGAAGAGCAGACCCGCCTTCAGACATATCTGTCACCGGCGGACTGGTACACAGACAGATCTCCCTCCCTCTTCCCTATGTGTAGTGTGAGAAATAAAGCCTGACTATAAGTCAAGTTAGAAAAGAACAGGTAAGTGTATTGAGGGAATAAGTACAATGAGGGGAAGGGGATCAGCATGAAATCAACGACAGCTATGGAAATTATCACAAAACAGTGAAACAGCAGCTTACGACAGGAGCATGAAGTTCAGGCCCAAAATACAAAATCCCCCTGGCAATAACCATGTAAAACCCCAACTAAAGAACCCGAATTATCTCCCTAGCAGCACGTCTGAGGCAGCGGCAGCGAAGCCCAGGACCTGCACTCGTTGGGTAACTGGAACCCACCGAGGAGGAGCACTGGAGAGTCCCTCCATGGCGACCGGGGTGGAAGAAGCGGGCCGAGAACCCTCTGGGGATCTCGTCCCCAGGAGCAGGAGCAGGTGAGGTGGAATGTCGTCTTCTCTCTTCTCGTCATCTCAGGAAAGGGGGCATCCTTCGACCACGCACCAATGCCGCGAAGGCCTGAACCGCGCACGCACAGTCACTAGGATGGACTGGGCCACTTGTCCGTGGTCACAGTTCTTTTATGCAGCGTATGGCGGGAAAACATGGTATGGTCCCAGCAAAGGCAGGAAATAGTCTGAGGTAACATTGTTCTTGAGATCGGCCAGTGGCGGGAAAAACCAGTTTGATGAAGGATGATCTAGGCCAGGAAGACAGGCACAAAGGGGGTCACAAGATGGAGTTTACAAAATGGTGGTTCAGACTCCATTTTGAATTGCTGCTCTGTCCTTACAAATTACATATTGAGTTTAACATACGCATATTTGAATAAGCTATAAGAGTATAACAAATCACACCCAACACCAGTGAGTGCGGGAGTGGGCCCGACCTCTGCTGCCAGCACAAGGTCCCCTGCTAATCCGCCAACCTGCCCTGGGCCTCTTTCTTTCTTTCTGTCAATAAACCTTTAGATTGTATATAGTAAAGGATTGGCAGCGGTGTGATTTTGGGGTAAGATCTGAGTGTGTGGCAGGTCCTTTGGGATCAGAAGAACCTGTTATTTGAGGAGACAGGTTTTAAAGAACCACTCAGCTTTCAATCCAGTGTTTTGGGGGGTGATACAAAGACTGGAATGCCTCAGGAAGCTGCTTTTATGACTTCTTGTTAGCCAGTGTGGTGAGATAGAAGTTTACTGTTGTGACTGGTTTGGTATATCTTTTGGGAGAAAAACCACCAGCATTTTGGGGTGTATTTACCCTGTTTCTCAGCAGTGTGACCTGAATTTGGTATTCTCAGTGGTGAACCACAATGGCACGGTTACAGGTGGGCAGCTTTTCTCAGCATTAAGGGTGCATCATGCGTACAAACTTCTGCTACCAGTGCTCAGTCTCACTTGCAGCCTCCCTGCAGGAGGAACCCGGGCACGGCCCGACAGCTGATCAGCCCGTGAGACTTGAAACACTCCTCTCTGTGTTGGACTGCTTAAGGCTTTGCTTTGCGCTGCCTCTCCAGTCACAGGCCACCTGCCCTGGTGCAAAACGTGGGGTTGTCTCGACTGGCTAAGGCAGACTTGTAGGAGACAGAAGGCAAAAGGAGAGAGACAAGTAAGGTGAGGAAGGAGAGTGAGGCCTGAGGGGAAGGGTGACAGCAGAACCCCACTCTCCTATCGCAAGCGGTGTTTAGGATTTAGCCAAAGCCAGTGCAATTGAGGATGTTGGCTGGTTCCCCCTCTCCGAAT